AAAAAAACTATATATGGACCAAAATATTGAAAATGATATCAACTAATATAAAGCTAAATTTTATTGTATGAAATTATGATTATATGATTCAAAATTTTATGTGGTAAATTAGGTCAATAACCATGAATTCTATTACATTATGTAAGTTAAGAATGATTTAATTAATAAAAAAAATAGTGTCTAGTGATGGATTGATGGAGTGGATTAGTGGGAACATTTTAAAATTGAAATCACTGTTTTGAGCACATTCTCTTTTTTTTTTAATATAATTATATTAGTTTTAAATACTTTTTAAGTTAGTAATTACTTTTTTCTAGTAAGATGATTTCTTGAATCAGATAAAAGTATGTACGCATTTGTTTTTTTTATGAAAGTATGTACGCATATTTAACAAAATAAAAGTTGTTTATTCGTCTATAATATACATATCCTTTTATTTTGGAACTATACTTGGAAAATATGAATAGCCAGAAACAAAAGGTCCAAAAGAAGTTATTCGATGCCTTTCTACCTCAATTTTCTTCTTTATCCCATCGTGTCCAATGTTGTATATGTTGACGGAAAAATTAGACCGACCTCCTATTAGTTCCTCGCAGCATAAGACAATCTTGTTGTTGTTATTGATAAAGTACAATATATTAGGTCTCGTCACATTAAAGAGCTTAGTCCCGATTCACAACGTAACCAAGATTTTATACATCTTATATACAGTGTTACAAACTCCATTACTGTAAAAAGGAGACTGAAACACAAACAAACAAGTCCAACTTGTCAAAGTACGTGAAAGACCTTATTCAAACATCTCCTTTACTATTTACACACGTACAACGACAATTTCTAAAGCAGAGCTCTCTTTTTATAGCTCAGTTTTATTAGTTTGGGACTTAAAAAAACACTACAACAAGCTTCCAAAATCACTTGGAAATGGGCTTGACATAGACTCCAACTTGGTGCATTATGTCCGAACCAGCTTTGCCATGGAACCCAACGATCTTGTGGCCATCTTGTTTGAGTAGGACGCTTTTAGCGCCTTCAAGTCCAAAAGGTGGAGAAGTTCGCTTGTTCGTTGTGAACCTAAGCATTGTTATAACTTCGGCTTCACTTCCAAATATTCTGTCGTAGTTAATCTCCACTGACGTGATATATTCGTTCGGATATTCAAGCACAAACTGCAAACAAACAAAAGAAAACACAAAAGATTTAAATAAAATCTAAGAATATGTTGTATATATCCTGACACTTGTGTGTGTGTGTATATATATATTTGACCTCTTCAGGTGCAAGTAGTGTCTTTTTCCCATGATCATTTCCGGGGACCTCGTTAGAGTCCTTCTCGTAAATGAACTTGACGTATGAAACACCGGATTCACCTTGACCTACGTATACTTTCTTGACACCATCATGAGGACCATCGTCCCATGGATTTCCCGCGTTACCACCTTTTGCTTCTAGTTTCTTGGAACCAGCTGATCCAGCTGGCTGATTGGTGGAAGGAGTACTACCACCACCGGACGAAGAAGTACTCGACGAAGGAGCGAAATAAGCTCCAAGAGCATGAAGAAGCTCGCCTACTCGTCCATGGAATCCAACAAGTTTGCCACCATTCTTGTCCTTGAGTTCATATTTCTGTTGACCCTCGATTCCAAAGGGCGGTGAGGTTTTTCCCTTAGATGTTTTGAAGATTAAACATGTAATAACCTCCGTGTCATGCCCAAAGATCCTGTCGGATTGCACCTCCACTGATGTGATGTAGTCTTCTGGATCAACCTCAAACTATACCAAAATTCCACATATGTTAATTCCTTAGATAAATGTAATGGATTTGAATTTCTTAATAATAACAATAAAAAGAGATAAACACACAAACCACTTCTGCTCCTAGCAAGCTCTTCTTTCCATGTTCGCGTGATTCCTTGTTACCGTTCTTCTCGTACTCAAACTTGACATAAGTGACACCTGATTCACCTTGTCCAACGAACACTCTTCTTACATCCTCATGAGCACCATCGTCCCATGATGTTCCTCCTTTCCCACCTTGAGCTTCCACTTTGTTGGCTTGACTCAAACCCGATGATGGGGTCGAGGAAGCAGAAGAGGAGGAAGGTAAAGGAGCGAAGTGGACATCAATGGAGTTGAGAACATTGCTACTAATTCCTTGAAAACCAGCGATCTGGTTATCTTTGGGTGCATGAATGGAGAACTGGTTCCTAGTTTTGTTTCCATAAGGACCATATTCGGTTTTGTTGGTCTTAAAAGCCAATGCTGCTATAGCATCTTCAGCACCCGTAGTTCTGTAGTAGCCAGTAACATCTGTTATGTACTCGTCTGGGCTCAAGCTCACCTATACATGAATAACAAAACCAGAATTACATTCGTTCAAAACCATATACACTAAATAAATCACTAAAGGTTATTTGGTGGACCAAAATGATCCTCCTAGACTAGCTAGGGTCGTGATGATTACTAACGCCGTCAGATTTCTTGCCAGGAGTGCCATGACGGTGGGGATTTTGGTCGCCGTCATACTCAGCTTCTATGGAGTTGATGACATCTTCATATGTAATCTGCACTTTCTTCACCTTCATGTGCTTCCCATCGTCCCAAGACATCGTTGCGGCCGCCATTTTTTTATCTGGCCATGCATGTACTACCCAATGTTATCTTTCTTAATAGTAAAGAAAAAAATTACGTTCTTTTTAAAAAGATATGATGACATAATAACGATGATACTAATACAAATAATATAGTATATGTACTATAGTCTCAATATACTCGATCAGTTTATACTATCTTTTTCATAAAACGTGTAGGATACAACGTGTAGGATACTAAACTAAAGGGTGAAAACAACTTCTTATGTAATTGTAAGTTTGTAACGATGTAGTAAATGTAAATATAGTCAAATAATGATGTGAAGCACTGAAAGAGAGAGAATACCTCTGTTTTTTTATTTTCCTTGATAAAAAGAGATGTGAAAGAGAGAGTTGGTATGGTGATGAAAATGCATGCAAGTGTGTTTTATATACACATTGATACACATTCAGATAGCCGATAACTCGAAACCAAATTTGTGCTTATCTAAAAGATCACACGTCACTCTATATGACCATTGTTCCACATGTTAAAATTCATGCTACACCCACTTATGACTCTTGAATATCAAACATTTGGCTTCAATATCCACATGTGCTTCTACAAAAACATACACTTATCCTTAGCGTCCAGATGTAAGAAATATTTGACATACACATACGAATCTTACGCCCGAGAAAGAAAAGACAGCAAGAGACGAAAATAATTAAACTGTGCATGCAATAGTGAGAGTGAAGAAAGACACTTGGCCTTGACAAACTCAATCTGCGTGTAATACAGTGATGGTGTAAAGACACTTGGCCTCCTCCAGATATAATGTTGGCTATGGATTTTCATCACTTGACCAGTGTTACATACAAAATATACGTATTTAAACGACGATACATCGATTCCACTAACATAGTCTTCCACACTTTCTTTTAAATACTCGTGAGCTTAATTATACAAAGAATCAACAATGAAGTTTACTCTCTTAGGGATACTTGTGCTCCTATGCTTTGTTGGCTCTCTGACCAGGGCCCAAGAAGGACCTGTTTGCCCGAAGACAGAAACTCTTAGCCGTGCAAGTTTCCCGGAGGGTTTCATGTTTGGTACCGCAACCGCAGCCTTTCAGGTGCATGCATATATTATACCCTACTACTAAGTTAGGATTTTAAAACAATTACAACCAAAAAAAAAAAAAACTAATGATGTAAATTTAAATAATTCTCTGTATATGAGATATAATCATTTTTAGGTGGAAGGAATGTTGGGAAATGTAGTTACTAAAAGTTTAACGTATTTGTGTGGTGAAATTAGGTGGAAGGTGCAGTAAATGAAGGTTGCAGAGGTCCCAGCCTGTGGGATATCTACACGAAGAAATTTCCACGTATGTCTCTTTTATTTTCCATTCATTTCTGTGACGAAGCCGAACATTTATTTTTATTTTCCTCAACGTGCCACTGCCCACTTGTGAGCGAACACACCCATTTATTGAATGGTGATATCTCCGACAAGACAGTAACAAAAATTTATATATTTGTATCTATCAAATATGAATATATTTTGTTACTGTTTGGACTGACTCTTCCGCTTCATTCGGAGCCGGAGGTTTTGCATACTATGCCAAAGCCTCCTAGAGACAAAATGAATTTCGTTTTCACCTTTTCGTTAACAGAAACTTAAATTTGCTTTTTTTGTAGTGAGGTTTTGTTTCTACAATACTAATTCTAGGGCGGTAATCAAATCGGCATGTAAAATGACCGGAATAACATTTTGATTCAATTCAAGAGTTGTTCATATTTTCTTAATATGGAACTGCAGATAGAGTGAAGAATCATCATGCTGATGAGGCCGTCGATTTCTACCATCGCTACAAGGTATTAGTTTCTGTCACTTAACTTAAGCTGCAATTACAAATTCATTAACGTTCACATAATATCGATCGGAACAACATTTTATCCCAAAAAAAAATCGGCGATCGGAAAGTAGCATGAAAATCGGATAGTAGCGTAGCACTTAAAACTCCCATCGATTGAAAGACTATGTTGTGAACTAATGTTCTTCGTTTGCCATGAAAAAAAAAACCAACAGGAGGATATCCAGTTGATGAAAAAGCTGAACACTGATGGTTTTAGACTTTCTATTTCGTGGCCAAGAATATTTCCCCGTAAGTTAAAACATTCATAAGTATAAAAATTATGAATTAGTGATAGTATTTGGTTGTTTATAATAACAGCTGGAATTTATATAATGTAAACAGATGGGAGGGCTGAGAAAGGAATAAGCAAAGAAGGGGTTCAATTTTACCACGATCTTATAGACGAGCTCCTTAAAAATGGTCATCTATTACCCTCTTATCAATTTATAGTATCTACATGTTATATTTATCGTTTCAACATATGGTAACTGAGCAACTAACTCTTCATTAATTATTGTTTTCAGACATAACACCATTAGTAACGGTTTTTCATTGGGATACTCCTGCCGATTTGGAAGATGAGTATGGTGGCTTTTTAAGCGAACGTATCGTGTAAGCTTGTGTACTAGTATATAACAATTTCTCTAGTGTATGTAAATATCAAATATTGATATTTTTTTCTAAATTTGCAAATCTATATATAGTCCGGATTTTCTGGAGTACGCGAACTTCACGTTCCATGAATATGGAGACAAAGTGAAAAATTGGCTTACGTTCAACGAGCCATGGGTGTTTAGCCGTTCGGGTTACGACGTTGGGAAGAAAGCACCGGGACGTTGTTCACCATACGTCAAAGAGTTTGGACATCTTTGCCAAGATGGACGGTCAGGATTCGAGCCTTATGTCGTCAGTCACAATTTACTCTTGGGTCATGCAGAAGCAGTCGACGCTTTCCGAAAATGCGAAAAGGTAAAAACATAAATCGGTTAACTTGTTTTCTCAACAATGAC